AGTGGGAAAAACTGTCGATTTCAACCACAACGTTGCTGAGATATTTGCAAAACTCTGGACCGCAGGTGTCTATGGTGGGGAGCGAACGCGCTATTATCCTTTCCGGGATAATTATTTTATTATCCATATTTCGCTTAGTAACCTGCCATGAAAATTATAGAAGGCAGAAAACAAAACGTTAAACATTGTGATTTCAACTACAGCCATAGCTTAACTGGGTTCTATGCCGATTTGCGCTCCCCATATCAACCCCGCTGACGGGTGATTGCTGTGGCAAAAAGATCGATAGAAATAGCTGAGAAACAGGTGGAACAATGGACCCGCATGGTGTGTTGGTGAGCGCGTTACTCCCAGGAAAGGACAATAGCGCGTTCGTTCCCCACCATAGACACCTGCGGTCCAGCGTTTTGCAAATATCTTAGCAACGTTGTGGTTGTATTTCGCTTAGTAACCTGCCATGAAAATTATAGAAGGCAGAAAACAAAACGTTAAACACTGTCGATTTCATTTACAGGGGCATTTAACAGTATCACTTCACATCCACCTCCAAGGAGACCAGCAAATGCAGTCTTTCACAACGATTACAGGTAAGATTTTCTGCGTCGTTAATGTAATTGTTTTTGGTTCTGTTGAAAGCATATGCACTCTTTAATGACGTGATGGCGTTTGTTATAATAGTTGTTCAAGAACGTTACATTTTAAATGTCTTTACATGCTTTCTTGAGTACTTTGGTGACCCATCATTACGAACATTACGAAGCGCGTGCATTCCTCAGTAGAATTTCCATTCTTTTACTCCATCGTAGATGCAATAGCTTCATCGTGGAAGTAGCTTCTTCTAGTATCATTTCCTGATTCATGAATCATTTCCAGCTTTGGGTACAGCCGGTTAATGTGGACTATACACGAAAGGCGCCCATCTTTTAGGTAGCTCTTCTTTAAAAACACTTGCATTGCTTCGGCCTTCACTCCTTCGTTGTTCCTATCTTTTTCCTTCCATGTTTCTATCGCTAAGGTTCTCTATTGGAAACTTTTTAAATGAATTTTGAATGTTACTTGTTTCAAAAGGTATTTTAATTGCAAGACTTTTGAGCATTGTTTGTTGTTACATATTGTACTGATACTCGCATTTTTTTTTCATTAGCTTCGTTGTCCTTCATCCATCATCCACTAAGGTTTCGGTTTTGGTCGTAGATCGGCCATAACTTGGGGAATTCGTCTTCTTCATGAATGTTAAATATATCTGATCAAGGGTGATTTTTTTCAGATTCCGCGGATAGTCTCCTAGAGTTTTGCCAGATTTTAGCCACAGTCAGTTATAGGCATGTCATAGCATTTTCAGACCCCGGAGACATAAGAGGATTAGTTGGGCCGAGGCAACGTCGAAACAACGACCATGTGGATATTATAGCGCACCTATAACTACTGCAATTCACTTCACCGTATTAAAAGTGTTATAGAAAGAAAAGAATATAGTCCGTGTACATCACTGGTAACAAGTGGTTGATGAACTCGATGTATCAGTTTTTTCGAAGGAAAACGTGGATATTTTCTAGTAAATGCCTAATTTCAGAGCAAAACTTGGCAATAGACAAACACAAGTTCCGAGCACCACTTCAAACTTGACTGGCACTATTCATCCAATTGGAAACAATGTCGTTAAACAGTTAGAAATGAAAACAATCACAAAAGCAGAGGAAAGGACGAAACTTAAAGAGATTATCGGTGGTCGAGTGAGTGATCGAGTTTTATGGGTTGAAAGTTGAAACATTCTCACTCTTTGAAACATGAAAATCATGAATGGATTTTGCAGTCACATCTGCTTGGTGCACGGAATATGACATCTTTAACTAATCCGAAAAAAATAGGCGGAAAAGTTCAGTCGGTGGTCAGGGATGGTTCAATGCTGGAGTTCATAAAGAAGCAGCCAGTTAGTCGAACCTCTCACTAATGTGCAGAATGCAATGGATAAGTGAGATTGTTTTAGACCGCTCTAAAACGATATCCCTATGTTCCTAAGTTGGGAACTGGTCTTCGTGGTGATAAAAGTGTAAATTTGGTAGCGAAAGCTCCTGACGGATCAAGTACCTCATCACAGGACCCAGCTAGAGTTTGTACTTTATGTTGTTTCTAATAAATATAGTGGTTATAGCTGTGGTCAGCGGTTCATTGATACGTACATCTTCGCATATTTAGATACGTGCGATCGCTATTCTTAAACGTAGACAGGAAGCAACTGGCAGTGCTTCCAAACCATTGAAGAGAAAAAGCGGTGAGTGTATATTTTCGCAGATACCGATGCCTACTTTGTTAATGGGTACACTTTGCAGAAAATAAGGCAGATCAAGAAAGTCCTAAGCGATCTAAGTTGTCTTCAATTGGTAATCTACCAAATCTTGATATCCTTTTGAGGAAGAAGAGCATACACGACTCTGAATCAAACAAGGTGTTTTATGTTGAGAAAGGAGTATATGATTAACTTTATTTGTTGGAACTATGGGAATCTCTTGTCCAACTACTAATTACACCGAGGTGATATTTTTTAAAAATGTTTTCAGGCTCAAGGAATAGCTATGCAAAAACATCTAGATTCGTTGGAGCAGACAGAGAAGGTGGAAACATTTGCTAGCGAATGCATGGCGGTAAAGAATGTGAGGATTGTGAGCTGCAAAAAGGTCAATTCATTCCTATTTTAGTTTCTATTTGTCGTTATTGATTCAGTACTGAGCATAGGATTGGAGGCTATATTTTAGTATCAAAATTTTCTCTTACCCTCTATAGATCGACGACATTGTAAATGAGTATTTTGAAGTGTTACCCATTGATTTAGTGTGGATACACGGCTCAGAAGCGAAGTGAACTTTGCATGCGCGAAGGCCACTATATCACAAAGGGCACAGCGGAGAAGCGATTTTTTAAATGCAGTTCGTGTCAAAGGCGTACAGTTGCTTATGGAATAATGCCAACAAAAGCGTGTAAGGTACGCCTTCAGTTATAACAGTTTTCGTTTCAAACCATATGCACAACATCATTTTAAGACTGTTGGACGTCTTGTTTGATTGATTAACTAACATGGGGTTGTGAAAACTTATTAGGAACGTTTCGGCGCATTCGTCTTCTTTAGGGCTTGAACTATTCGAGTCAATTATTCACAGAAATTTCCGCAGAGCCCTGGAGGAAAAAATTATCAGTGGATAATCAGCCGAGAATCATGCTATATAGAAGGGCATTGCTGATGGAGGTTATTTTATTCAAGCGGTGATTCACTGCATTGTATTCGACTCGGTACGACTACCAAGACACACATCGCTGGAAAGGACGACTAGAGAGACGGGAATGGATGAAAACTGAACTCGAATGATCGTGGTTCTGAGTAAAGCGAAGTGAGCACGCGTTAGCCGAAGAAGTTTCTATTGGGACCTCGTGTTGGCTTATTAACCATACGTGACAATTATCATTTCTACCGATGTTGAATGAGTGCTAGTTTGCAGAATTATTAGATGCGTTGTTGTTGTTGTTCCAGCTGTCAGATTTATTTGGAGAAAGTCCTGGAGAGAATTCTTATAACAAAAATGACTGAGTTTTTTTACCTTTAATGTTCTTTAGCATTGTCACGAGAACGAATGGGTTCGAGTAGCAATGAAAGACGAACGAAAGGTGCAGTTGGAGAACGAAAAGTTGCTGGTTCGTGGTGAAGAACGAAAATTTGTCAGCAGTTAATTTTGGTCTAGCAATTAGCGAATAGCAGAACTATTTTCAAACCGATCATCATTTAAGCTCGGTAGTAAAATAGCCAACATGTTTTAAATTGCTGAGCTTACACGAGGTTGATCAACAACTTTTATTCGGCTGATGTTTCGACGTCTTCGTCTTCAGCAGAGCCGATGATCCGAGTCAGTGGTCTACAGTTGTTACTCGTCTTCATCGGCTCCGATGAAGACGAAGTCGTCGAGACGTTAACCGAATAAAAGTTGTTGACCAACTTCGTGTAAGCTCAAAGATTCAAAACAACTTAATTTTTGTTCAGCTATATTTTTATATTGTTCAATCTAACGTGTCTGTATAATTTCTCGATGTTTCTGAATTTTTCGAGGGTTCTCGATGTTGGTCATTCTCATGTAAATTTGTAACTTACTTCATGTTACATTTGTAAATTTCTGGATTTAATACATCCACTCCGTGTTCACATCCATCTAAGTAACGTCTTTTTTTAAGTGGAATAAGTGCCCGTGTGACTGTTCATTGCTTTACACTACCTTTGTATACTTACCTAAACATGATTAGTTGTTAGTGGACATGAAACTTTAGACATTTGAAGATTTGAAGTTATTTCTGTTTTTCCTAATTTCCACCATAACGTGCTCGATACTGTGCATGTGCGTTCATTTAATCTAGTGAGTTGTCACCGACATCTTTTTGAAGATTTCGTAACAATAAAAATAAAACGGTCAATGACAGTTGCATTGTACTTTTTTCATTTTATCATTCCATGACACAACATCACATCGAAGCCCAGAACTTCTTGCATTTGATTCGTTTACCTACAACCACCATTCACAAAGGCCTACCAATTTTTTTAGTGTCGGCTTGGCCACAGTCTGAGGATTTTTCTATTTTCTTCGCGAATGCCGTTGAATTCTGGCAGAATCAATTCCTCCTGGAATCCTGAGATAGCCATGTCGGTCCACATGAGCATGTGATGGCGGCTTTGAGATAACCAACCGATCAATGCGAAATATACGTCCGTACAGATAGAGAACTTCTCACAAGGAAAGTTCTCTATGAAGAAAAATTGTAGGTAGTAAATAGGAGAGAAGTAAAGCTATGCATTTTGATTTCGATTACAGCCTCAACTTAACTAGGTGCAATGTAGATTTGTGTTCTCCCGAATCATTCCCGCTAATGGGTTATTACTGATGGTACCGTTAGGGTAAAAAGCTGGTTTAGAGAAAAGCAGCACGAGGGCTTCAGTTACGCAGTGGATAATGCGTGAGTCCCTGGAAAGGTAATCACGGGTTCGAATCTGGCCTGGTGTCCAAGTTTTGCAAATATCTCAGCATCACTTTGGTTTTATTTAGTAATAGTTTACACAACTTTTGATTATCGCAGTTGCTTACCAACAAACTGCAAAGAAGTAATGAAGCGAGAGCAGCTAGCAACCTTCATTTAACTACGCGTACTAAATCTGACCTATATATGTTCCTTTGTGAATTAAGTGATGATTTTGACATTGAGTTAGACATGTACAGTTACATGGGCGATTTATTTTACGAGACGGGCGCCTACCGCTGATCCACCGGATTTTTATAAATCATTCAGAAAACTGACAACTCAATGTTATTCAGCAGTATTGTCAAAAACACAGCTTAGATTATGTAAAATCAACTTTTTAATGATATATGGTAGCGCAAAGGCGTATGGAGCACAGTGGTCGGAGGCGCCCTATAATGCACATGAGATCGAACCTCAACCCCAAGGCTCACCAAGCCTTTCATCTCTCCGACAAATTGATGCCAGACTCGTGTGGGAAGATAGCTGGACTGGCACGATGCATCGATAGGCGACTGAGAGTGATTATAAAGGCCAGATATGCAGTCAGTCACCTTCAAACGGTGCTTAATGAAGTCTAGTGCATGGCGCTTTCCTCAGGGATTAATCAACGCCGGAAGCTTTATCCTTTATCCCTTATGATAGCACACCATTCGGAAAAAAATGGCGATTGCTGAAATATTTGCAAAAAAGAATGAAATCACAAATCTGATAGTGATTTCTGAACTACATGACACTACTAACAGTTACAGAATGGATTCTCGGAAGAAGAAACCTAACATTAACAAGTAATATTATGATCTACTATGATCAATGGGTGGCTATTGAGATGTTTAGTCCGCAAGCCCGCTCTATAAAAGGACGACGCCTAATGAGGTGGTTACTCTATTCAAGAGGTGCCACTCCACTGGATTCGGCTCGGTCCGACTACAAGGACATCCTCCTTCCTGAAGACGTCGCCAGCTTTTCACTAGACGTTGTGTTTACACAACAAATAGCAGCCTAGTGAAAGCGAAAAAAGTTTGGAGTTGAGTTTTTTTTTGGAATTATATACTTTTTTTCGTAATACGTGATTTTTTACTCTTGAAGCCGTACCTTGATGGTCCACAAATAATCTGCTCGCTATTGCTTTTGTGTAGTTTTGTAAGAATTAGGATGGTTAAAGTCAAACAGCAAGTTTTTTTTATCCGTTCCTTGGCGAGCATAATCGATTAGTATCGTTTGTACGTAATGCGATTCTGTGTTAATGCAGGAGCTTGACGTATTGAGACGATTGCAGTGAACATTATAGTTCTAAGGTTTAGGAACAGAACAGAATTATGTGAAAAAAGGCAAGTGGTTTAACCTCACTTATTTCGAGGAACATTTAGAAATTAACGGAGCTGATTTTAGACATATACAAGTTCTGTAGATGCCTCCAAAGATGGAGGGAGAATTCCGAGAGCTGCACTTTCATTCCTCCCGCAAGGATAGTTGAGACGAAGACATGCTTCGCTTGTGCAAAACATTTGTGCCTGAGTGATACAGTACTAAAACGGTAACCATTGAAGTCTTTCAAAATTAGAAGAGCAGGGACCCTTCAAGGACTCACTCAGATTTCAGCTTATGTGGATTGAACGTTAGGTCAGATAATGACTTGAGTAGAATCACTAGTGTATTATTATGTTTGACGATGCCTCGTCTTTATGTTCCCTCTACAGGAGAACCAGAAAGTAGGATTTAAGTACTACCTTAGAGTTCTGTTGTTCAGTATTATTATTCATATTCTTAGTAGTACCAGGACATAAAAGTAAAAAGTTATATCTTTGCAGAGATATCGCCAGTCGGTGGTTTCATGACAGGTAGATAGGAAATGATCTAGACGGTAATCTGGACACGATGGCTGTTCTTAAACCCAGCAGAGCTGGAAACTGGGAGTTAAGAAAGAGTATGGAATACTAGTCTATTACAAGTCTGCCGTTCATTTTAAGAAATTAATTCTATTAATATGTAATAGAGTGCCAGTTTCTGCCAGATATCTAAAAACATTTAGAGGAAAGTTTAATTCCTTCTTGCAGACCGTCGACGTTACAGTTTGGACGGTTTGGAACATAGTACTAAGGATATGCGGAAACCTATTGATGAGATTGAATGCAGGTTTTGGCCCAAGCAATCTTTCATCCTAGCCTAAAATGGGAACATTTCGCCCATACGTATGGCATCGCTGTAGTGCCTTCTTCAGCATTTCATGGTTTACGAGGTTCGTGGATCCAGTAATGAATAATATAACGTCTGCCTTTGATTTGTGGGTTCATAGCAGTATTTTCGCCTTTTCGACCTGCCATATTTTTTGTAGCTATGCATAGTGTCATTGTGGACTACCGACTCGTATCATGAGCTTTGATAAAGACGAAGGCGTCAAAATGTAAGCCGAATAAAAAAAATTTGTCAACTTCGTGTAAGCTCAACAATCTATACACATAATGTCATTGTTTCTTCGTCGTATCTCCCAATCACTATTGCGGAAGATACTTTGCCATTTTTAGTGTTCCTTGTTGCAGTCTATATCGTCTTTGCTTACTGATCACGTTACTGTTTATATCTCGTTAGTACCTACATTTTCGATATTGTTGTATCGTTACTATTTATTAATATGAGTTTATATAAAAGTCTAATTACCCATCTTTGAGATCTGGCGTTACGACAGAGAAAGGGAAAAGACGGGTGTGACAGAATGTATCACAGGAAAGTCGAGCTACTTCACTTTACGATATGTGCTTGTTGACCGCCTTAGCCATTCTCGTGTTTCCCCACTAATCGCGGAGTAGATATCTAAACCCGCTGTAGTTTGCAAAAGATTTCAGAATGTTTACTGTGTACAATTGTACTTCACCATTCCTATAATGTGACGGGCCGCATCAGAGCAATGAAATTATCATAATATATGGAAAACCCTGTAGTGAAAAAAATTGGGCAGTAAATAAAAATTAAAACATCGCCGACTACTGCTCCAGCCTATCTGAGTTCAATA